GCTAATTATCCTACAAGACACGGCCAGTGTTAACCTAAATAATTTTTAATAATATTATAACTTTATTTCTTCCAAGCCCCAACGAGTGCCGGGAGCCTCGCCCACGATCGGCGAGGGCTTCGCGGCTCTTGCCCAGTGGCCAACGAGGGTCACCGGCCCTTGCTTGTGGTCGACGAGGGGGTCGGCCGGCTCTCGCCCGTGACTGGCGAGGGTCGGCCGGTGACCCTCGTTAGACTTGATAAAAAGAAAGGAAAAGAAAGAACAAAAAAGAAAATATAAAATAAATGAACAATAAAAATTTTATAAAATAAATCATAAAATAAATTGTCCACATCAATGCTGGCCGTCCTATGTGGCACTATCGGCATCAACATCAGCAATTTTTAGTTAAAATTGACCGGATGGACTCAATTGACAAAACGTAAAAAGGCTTAAGACTTAATTAGTGCAATAAATTTAGGACTTTTTAAACAATCTTCCCAATGAAATCTGGTTTAATTGGGCCTAGACAACAAATCGAGGCTAGGCAGCAAGTTGAGCCGATGCTCAGGGCCCTGCCTGGCCTCGATCTGCCTAATGATCAAAGGCAGTCAACGGGCATAACTGATGACTAAAATAGTATTCTTAGCACAAACTCCGCGGCATTTCACTTGAAAATAGAGGGATATGATTGAAACATTTTGTAAACATCATTTGATTACCTCTTTCAGTCGAAAATCTATCACATCGAGATAGGGGCAGACTCATCCGGATCCGGATTCAAGAATCGTGCGCGATCTCATCCGTAGCCGGTGCGTGTCCACACGTGTAGGGACGATGCAGAATTCACAAGATCAACGGTCGTAATTAACTGAATGCATACCTCCAAATCTCTTATTTTCCGTCCGAGAAATACGTTATGATGGCGAAACCAGCTGCGCGACACTTAGTGAATGGTCCCCGAAGACCATTGAGCCCAATATCAGAGGTACCACCCAAATCCCACCCGCTAAACCCACGTGCGCAGGTCGTGAGATTTCAATTAGGGCGAGAGAGTGACACCCGAAGACATTGAGAGAATGAGAGAGACAAAGTGTGGGTGTTGTCCCCATCTCCCGTAGTTGCATGTCTTCGAGGGCAACTTCGAGGAGACCCCAAGGACCCGACAGTGACACTGCCCAGACATTGCAAACCCACCCGCAGCAGGGTTTTCTTCATTCATTTATGCAAGCTATGATCAGTGGAAAGGAGAAGGATGTGATTCAAATAATTCGTCTTGAGAATGTTGAGAAATTGAATAATGGATAGCTACTTTTTGAGGGGGGTAGGGAGAGGGATGGGGGAGAGATCCAGATTCGATGCTATATGAAAAGCACCTAGGTCTGCGCATGCAAACATTGTTAGGGGTAAAAAGGTTACCTAGCTAGATGAATTTCCAATTGGAAGTAAAATTGAAAGCATACATAGATTCTATTTGTCAATATACAGTTGTTTTAAAATAGCAAGTACCCTTGACACCTAAAAAACGACCCACTGAAAATTGTAAAAAAAATTATATATCTTTAACTTGACATAAATTTAGGGATTTATTGAGTGGCGAAGCATTTGGCTTGATCGGGTCGCAAGTCCTATATGTATTTAAATCATGGCATTCTTCACTCGGAGTAATTTTCGAAGCCACGTCTATCACACTATGTGTGAAGCCTTCTTCGAGACAGATACGGAGCAATTCGTGCTCGTTCACATAGATTGGTCCGGTTAAATTTTTCTTGCTCCTCATATTTAGACAAGACCTCCTACACGCACGTTAATATCGCCATCCTCTCTCTCCAATTTTTCGTCCAACCCAAGACGAAAGAAACCCTAACTTTATGGGACCTCGAAGGGAGACAATGTTGTCACAATTTTCAACTAGCCAATTCATCTAGACATAGCCCCTCCCCTCCCTAGAATTCAGTGTCACCCATCGAGAATAGCCCCAACCAAACACCCCACTGAATCTCACGCACTACATGAGTGGTTGAGCTTCTCTCGTAGACTTTCATAGTTCACCATTTACTGAACTATCTAAATTCCCGTGTACTCTCTCGCTCATACACATCCAAGCCCTTCCAATCTGGGCTCCTATTGAGCACCCAAGGAGTTAAACATCCTTGCCAAACACCATTGACCATATAGCACCAAAGTTAGGCCCTTCCAATTAAATTCTCAGGGTCCCCGTGGTCCTGAAGCCTGACCACCCTCGTGCATTGCATGCGCTCCCCCCCTAGCAAGCAGCTGATATGGGCTACAGGATTGGGACTTATCGTGTAGGCACTGTAGGGCTTGTTCAAATATCGACGGCAATTCTGGGTGACTCATACGTGATTGCTGGTCCATACCCCTCGTGGGCTTGTTGAGTACCGCCACCGGTCGATCGCCGAGTCGAGATTCTCTCCACTTGAATAGTGAAACTGACCGCGCCCATACGTGTTCATCTTCCGGATGACGACAGATCATCTCTCAAAGAGAATCTGACGGTTGAATTTTCTTAATTCCAGCGATGCCGTCGAATTGTTACCTTCTAGATTCACCATGTTCATATACAATGTATATTGATGAAGCAAGGTTTAGTTCAGTTGGAGTGACTAGTGAGCGATGGTTTCTCTTCGAGCCTCACTAAGTTAGGTGTGATTTAATGTATGTAAGCCAGGAAATTTTATAGATAGGAGGGCATGCAGCCTTTCTGTTGCTTTATCTATTCTATCAACAACGGATGAAACATGAGCCAAAACAAGGGACATAGCAAGGGAGCAAGAACCCTTCTTCACTTGATTTTTCTTGTATTGTATTGGCGATTTCGAAGGTTGTGGGCAACAATATTCGTTGTCGGTCGAAGTGTCCAAATCTTCCTCCTCCTCCTCCTAACTGAAGTGGGACAACTCTTTATTGTTTCTCCAGATTCTGTCTGCTCGATTTGAATAAAAATATTTGCTAATGTTGTTTATTGAGTTTCCATTCCATGTAGACTCTGCATAGGATAGAAACAAATAAATAATATTTGATTTTTTTTGTCCTTGGCTTAAAATAGTATCGATTTTGGAATTCCCAAGTACCTTTTCTTTTCATAGAACACCCGCCAAATAATTATCCATTTATATGTATTCAGTCCTCCTAATCTCGACGACAACATGGCATCTAGGAATTAAAATACTTATGTTTTGTCCGTGCGGGGTTTTGTTAACGAATATTTTCGAGATACTTATTAGCATATTACATAAAGAAAATTCTAATTTTCCAAATATTTACATTTTATTACTAAAATGTTAATGCATTACCGTTTCGTTTCTCCGGTATATATATAATATATATATTCTCTTTGCGGGGTCATTATTTACTAATCATTTGTATCTTAGATATTCCTCGTGGAAGGGGCTAAACTACGTCATAATTTAATGGTAATTGCTAATGACCCCCTTCGAGAACAAAGAGAAAGAAGCCCTCTTTTCTTTTTTGTTTAATCTTTCGTTACAAGTTTGGTTGGACCCACCTCGATACTAGGTTGGACTAATAAAAAATCAAATTAATTCAATAAGAGGAAAGAGAGGATAGAGACTAAAGAAAAAAGTTGTGCACCCAAATGGGATGTGTCGTTTCACTTTAGAGACATATGTAGCTTGCTTTTGGGACAAAAGAAATTGAAACAACGACGACGTGCCTTGTACACAAGAACGAATGTCGTGGGATTCGCATTGGAGAGATGGTCCATTTTTTAGATGTTGGGTTTTGTATCTTTTTCTATAAGTTTTATCTCTCGAAGTGGCAAGATTTTTTCGATTCCACCGTCGTTGGTCGAAAGAGACGAGCGGCTTGTGCTAAACCACTTGACTTTTGAGGCTATTCCTAAACTCATGTCGAGAAAATGATAGGAAAATGACTCCCATTGCGTGTTTTTTGTTGTCAAACAAAAGAGGGGAAAAACCCATTAAGTGGAGGTGCCCATGCACACCAACACATTGAGGAAGAACGCGCACAAAAAGGTGAAACCTATGAAATGGAAAATGAAGTAGCGAAAGCTTAGGTTTCATACTATATCGGGAGAAAAAAAAGAATGTAAGTCACTAAGAAAGAGTTTAAGTTGTTATGTGACGGAGGGCTTATACATATCGAGAAAAGCGCGTCACAAAGCAATCCGAGATAGCTTTGACGATTGACAAACGGATTGGAAATTGCGCGAAAGTTTCGTACGATCTGATAAAGTATGCTTCCACGAAAGAGAATCAACGACACCGACAAAGTTCTCGGGAGATCTCGATCGTGAAAGAGGTAGATCGAAACGGTTTATTCTGTAAAAATCACGGGACGTCATCGGCCAAGAAAGAATAGGCGAACGATATTTATTCCGTAGCCGATGTAACCTAATTTCTCTTATCTTAGTATGGTAAATTGAGTGGATTCGAATTCACGCCGAGTCCCCCCACCATAGAGTCATTTTAGTCACAACGAACGTGACTAGCAAGGCATCACTCGAAATAAAGGATGTCGCAAGCGCGCTCTCCGCATCTTATGCCCGACTAAAAAAAGGGTCAACCGAACCGAATCTGAACAGCTCCGGAAGCATCAGAAACATAATCCTATTCTTCCCTCGATGTGTTCGACGCTCAGAAGGAAGTGAGCATGCAAGCAAGCAAGGACTCGCTGCAGCAGCGGCGGCAGCAGCAGCAGCTTATGAACAGAATCTGAGGCGAAGTGTGTACTTATTGTTCGGGACATGTGTTTCATGAACCAACGTGTGTTTGATATAGAGAGAGAGAGAGAGAGAGAGAGAGAAGGGAGAGAGAGAAGGAGAGGAAAGCGGGTCGGCAAAAAGTGGAGCAGCGAAGCGGACAGATCAAACCTTGTTTCAACACCTTGTCGGGCGACCCGCCCAGACCGGGACTCTATTCTCAAATCTGCTGTCCCTCCCCCTCGCTGCCAAACACTTCCCCGCCCCCCCCCCCCTCCCCTCCTTCATTCACTCCTCTCCCCTCTCTCTATCCTTCTCTATATAAACGCCAAACACGCCAACCACATCGTCCCCAAACACAGTTGCCAATCGCCCCAAGAAACGAGAAAGAAAGAGGCTCACAAGACGCCCAGAGAGAGATCTTTGCTTATTTTATTTTGGAGTTCTCTTTGTTTGGTTGTTGCTGCTGCTGTTGGATGGTGTTATGGAGCTCCAACTGGGTCTTGCCCTCCCCAGCGGCGGCGGCGGCTACGATCGAGCGCAGCAGCAGCACCACCAGCAGCAGCGTCGACATCGTCACGGGCTTGACCTGGACCTCAACGTGAACGGGTTCGGTCACGGCGGCTGCGACGATGACGACGAGGCCATGGTGGAGGCCGTGGGATCGAACCGGTTCGACCCCGGGCCGAGCCTCGAGCCGGGGTACTGCAACAGAAGCGAGGAGGAGTGCGAGTACGATGAGCAAGGGAATTGCGAGAGGAGCGTGCCCCGAACACTCTCGCTCCTGTTCGGGACTCGAAACGACGACGAGGTCGGAGACGACGACGACGGCGGGCGCCATCGCCACTTTTCAGGCAATAAGTACGTTCTCTCACTCTATCTCTCTGTCATCTAGAAGCAAATGACGATCGAAGAATGCAAATTGATGTTGAAAAATGGTTCTTGGCGATGTTGCAGGGAGTCCACGTACTTGAAGGTGACAATGGAAGGCGTAGGGATCGGGAGGAAGATCGATCTCAGCCTCCATCGCTCTCTTCCCTCCCTCATGTACACCCTCATCAACATGTTTGGCTTGTGTAAGCTTCACGACATCTCTATTCAAACATTTACATTTCTCTTCACGAGTTATACCACAAAAATTCAAAGAAGACGAAACAACCAAAAGCCGAAAACATTCCTCAATTTTGCTGGGCTCTCGTTGGAACAGGCTATGAAGAATCCGAAAACCTGAAGCTCGCTTACCAGGACAGGGACGGAGATTGGGTGCTCGCCGAAAACGTGACTTGGAGGTGCGTCATGTGTCTCGTGTTACCTTGCACTCAGTAATCTCGTAACTATGAACGCTAGACCTGATCATCGACCCGACAGCTGATCCGGGCCTCCGGTCTACGACCCGTAAACAGCGGGTTCGGGAAATTGAAAACGGCCTCGGCTCGAACGACAAGTTCAGCTCGACGCAGGGTCTAGCTCTTCCTTTTGATCTGATCTAGTCTCTGGTATGCCCATGTGGCTCATTCATCATTCCGAGCAAAATCTAGGTGACGGTCTTTTCGGCTCGTGTAAAGGCGACCGACCTAACACGTTAAGGTAACTCATCAAGATGGGCATGTAGACAAGCAACCTAACCAGAAGAAGCATTTCACTTTTCTTTTTGGTGGGATTTCGGCATTTGCCTATTTAGGCCCGATTCAACCGTCGGGCCCCACAAAGTTCACATCAAATTGACCACATTAAAGGCGGACGAAACACCAAATTTGGGAAATTTCGTAGAATCCTAAGTCTAACAGAAGCCTCTGGCCATGGCCCCCACTGTGTAAGAGTAGGTAACGAAATCGATTTAGCGAACTAGATTCATCATCATCATCATCATCCTCAATCCTGCTAAAAAAGACCCATGTTGTTAGGCACCGATCAGTATGGAATTGGAAGCTGATGCACGATTTGGACAGAGTCTGCTCAACGATGAATGTACTGATTTTGTGGATGGTTTTCTTCCATTTTGCAGGTCTTTTGTGCGGTCTGCACAGCGATTGAAGCTGCTAAGGATGAGTGGTTGACTGAGATTGCAGCGGTTGGAAGAGGAGCAGAGTTTTGAAACATGTATAGCTTGTCCATGAGAGGAGAGAGCTTATCGAGCAATGTATAAAACAACACAGATCTTGTTGTCTGCTTGCCCTCTAATTAGATGCAACAAAGATTATATTAGAATTTCGTGACATTTGAATTGCGCCACCTTTGCCTGAGAATCTCGATGCGATAGAGTTGCCGTTAATCATTTTTAGTGGCAAAGGATGATCGGAGATGTAGCACACGCGTGAGAGTGCTAGTCAATTCGTGAGGAAAGCAAAGATGGCAATCCCGAGAGGTCCGTTACCCATGGGGAGGGGTTAGCAACCTCAAGACACCCTTTCAGTAACTTACTTTTCAATTGAATCTCTAAATGTAATCATCAAAATAATTTTCTAAATTTCTCAATACGAGGGTTCTTTTTCGGAAACGTAATGAGGTGAAAAAGTTAGATCTTTTGCGCTCGACATGACTCCGTGTGTCAAATGTGTTTCTATTTTATACCATAATATGCACAATGACGTGGCAATATGAGTCACAGGTTTGACAAGTAAGCATGAGCAGTCAAGTAAATTCCATGATATCCGATGATGCATGAATATAATTTTAAAAATGACAGTATCATGTTATTATTTGGCCTATTTTAATTGAATATTTCATCCTTTCATTCCATATATAATACTAGGTTTTTGAAAGACTAATATGGTTTTTGTACGATGATAATTATAGCTTTCAAAAACATTTTTCATTTGATAAAATCGAAAAATAAGCGCTGGAAATTCAAATACTAAATTTTAAGTATTGACAATTGTAAGTTCTGTAAATAAAAATAAAAAGTTATTTTTTTGGTCTGTGAAACAAAAAGTTGTTTGATTTGTAATTCAAGATTGAGAGAAAATGACGGGATTTAAGCCCCGGGTTATAGCCAACAAAAAATTATCAAAAAAATCCTAAATATATTGCATTTGTATCAATTCAGTTTTACACATTTCAATTTAATCGTAAACATGTTAATAGTTTGCCAAAATAGTCTATTTTGCCAATTTTGGCCGGACATCGCTTATGCAAACTCTTGTCGACCGTCTTACGTGACACGGTCATCATTAATGTGGACAATTCTTCTAATTTTTAATATTTTTTCCATTTTTTTTTACTTTTTATTTTTTATTTTCTTCTCTTTTCTTTTTTTCTTTTTTTTTTTCACTGTAGCCAATGAGGATCACTGGAACTCGCCGACCAATGAGCAAGGGTTGCGGCCCTCACCCAGCCTTGCCTAAATCTGGGCGAGACCATCATGGTCGTGGGCCAAGGCAACCTCTCCTGCAATCGGTGAGGCTAGCCTCGTCCAAATCTAGGCAAAGCAACCTTGCTCGTGATCGCGATCGCCTCGCCCAGATTTAGGCTAGGCTTGGCAAGGGCTGCGACCCTCGCTAGTGGCCAGCAAGGGCTTTGTGGCCGACGCGGCCACATTGAAAAAAGGAAAAGAAAAGAAAATAAATTTTTTTAAAAATTAATAAAAAGATTTCAAAAAAATTTAAAAAAATTATCTACATCAGTGCTAACCATGCCACATAGGACAGCACATGTCTACATCAGCGATTTCCGGCCAAAATTGACCGGACAAACGACATTGACAAATTATCAAAAGGTTGATGACTAAATTGATTAAAATGAAATGTTTATAACTGAATTGCCGTACATGCAATAAGTTTAAGACTTTTTTGATAATTACCCTTTGACAACTGTGTAGATGTGCAATGGCCATTTGTGGACCTGCCCCTTGCTCCGCCTTGCCGAGGTTGCACAACCCCCCCCCCCCCCCCCTGGTGGTGGAGAGTCTCGTTGGTCGGATGCATCTACACTTCTCTGTTGTTTCTTCTCAAATTTGTTCTTCTTTTTTTAAAAGTTATCTTGTAGTGAGCATTTCGCAGCACATCAGCAAATGGTATCTGCTTTCACCAAAACCTCTTTCAAGGTCTCTTGCCTCCATTGAAAGTTTTAAAAGCATCACTTTTTCATCACCTTTAAACTCTTTCAAGCTGAAACCCAAACATAATTAACTTGAATTCACCATGGCTATTCAAAATCTTACTTAAAGACTGAATGTGTTATCCCATATTTGTTTTTAGTGAAAAAATATCCATTGAAGTGGAGGTTTTTTTCAAACAACAAAGAACCGGGTCAACTATTCAATTAAATGATATTGAGAGTATTTCCCATCTCCTTTCAAGAAATGAGTGAGCTATTTCTTTACAAAATTGTGCTCAATTTCGTATGGTTATTCCGCCATGATAGCCTAAATTTAAAAAGGACCTTGAAATGTGCAAATCAACTTTCGTGGGAAATACATGTACTTATCTCTGAGTGCCGTGATCAGTTACTCCGGTTTTAAACTTAAACTTGACCCGTTGCAATAGAGAGGCCAAATAAAGTAGCGGAATGGATAGCTACAGCCCAAAGTAAAAAAAGAAAAAAAGCCATTTCTACAAAATTGGTTAGACGGCCCACCACAAGCCCCTTGAGATTTGCTTTGCTTTGAGCTCCCGTAGTGAGCTCCGATGTTTATCTTTGAGAAACAAATAAAATTGATTTCGACCAAAAAAGAAAACCGGCACGACGACGCCGAAAAAGTCAAAAATAAAAACAAAAATAATGAGGGCCATGTGGTAGGAGAAGTCGGTGTAACCACTACATACGTTAGTCTTTTGGTACCTCTGATGCAGACTCTTATCAGCCAACTTTTTTAAATTATGTTATAAGGCAAGAGGAGTCAAACAATAAGACAAGGAAGAAGCGCACAAAAAATAGGAAAATTAAATGAGCTGTATGGAAAAAGAAATGGGCCTACTAACTATCTCTATTTCTTCTTTTAGCTTTTTAATGTTTTTTTTTTCTCGTACTATAATGATTCGTCTTTCTCGCCCGATAAGGGTAATCGGTTTCAGGATGGGTAGGTTTTAGATCTGAAACTTAGAACCTCCCATGTTATAACCGGTTCCCAAATTTTGGAACTTGGAAACTAGGGGTAATCGGTTCCGAGTCCGGTCCGGTCCGGTCTGACCCAAGAACCGGGAACTAAATCGGGAGGACCGATTCCCAGTTTCTAGGACAAGTGACCGGACCGGCTAGTCTCGAGACTGTGGATAGGACCCGACCGGTGGTCCGGTCCGGTTCCAATGGGACCAATCACTTATTGGTAAAGGCGAAAGGGAATTGGGGAAATTAGATTAAGTTTTCTATTTTTTTCAAACTTTAAAAAGTAAATAAATATATATAAATTAGAAATATATATTTATCTGTCCAGTCCGATCGGTCTGGTTCCCATCCTAGAATCGGGAACCAAACCGCCCGGAAACCGGTTCCGCTTTTAGAAACCGGGAACCGGACCGATATTCCCTAGAACTTGACCAAATCAGTTGGTCTGGTCTAGTCCGGTCCCGGTTCGGGCAGTCCATCTTACTCACCTCTACTGGAACCTACCATGTTTGTCTTGAAACCTGTTTTGGAGCCTATCCGATTTTTCCGATCCGGTTTCAGGGTTTACCCGAGAACCCTTTTTTCTTTTGTTCTTATTTCCGATTTCATTTTTTCCAACAAAATAATATGAGTAGGAATGAAACGATTCAAAGTAAAAGATGAACACTATCCGCCAAAAGCAACAATTCCTAAGATAGCAATAAAAAATTTTATCCACCAAAAGCAACAATCCAACATATAGTAATAGTACGATCTACAACTTTTTTTTTTTAACAAGCTAAAAATCGGTTCCAAAACCAGTTCGAGTGGGTTTTCACTTGAAACCGGGAACCGGACCAATTTCAATAGGTTCCCAAATAATGAAACCGGTTCCCGAATCAGTTCAAACAGGAGCTGGTTCCTAAATCTGTTTTTCAGGTAGTCTAGTCCAGTTTCTGGGTAAACCCGATTCGGTTGCACACCCCTATCGCCCGGTGATTATTTGATTCTTTGATTCTTTGGAAATGCTTAATCATTGATTTTTATGAACAACTTTTTTGTCAACGGTTTAAATTTTCCAAGATAATAAGGGGAACATTGCAGAAGACGAAGGATTTATTTTGGAAAAGCGAAAATTTACAGCTCAGTGAAACATGGCGAAATGTGTTGTGTTGTTCAGTCTCGATAATTTTCCGGGAAATATCGTTCAGCATCACAAAGTGTGCTTAGCACATATTATGGTGCGCCGATGCACCGTACAAAGACCGACCGAGAAATTTTGCAAGATCAGCGATCTTAAAGTATAAGTATTCTTGATCTTAAAAGATATCGGTTCGCAAATAGTAATACGATATTGATTAGTGTGTGCCAAAATTATAAACCGATGTGACCGAAGAATTTACCACATCGTTTTTGTATGTCGCATTTGCGCTTCATGTGCAGAGACATTGACCTTGATTTGCACTCTACCGAGTCTGTCTCGATTGACTTACTTTAAATCTTTTGGGTTAATATCACGAAAAACTCCAAACTGGTACATATGTGACAAATTTAGCCCAAACTATTTTTTTTTGGTAAGTAAGTGATCATATCAGTCTCAAAAAAAATCTAATCTTAGCCCAAACTATTTTTTTTTACCACAAAAAAAAACTCAAAATTGGTACACTTGTGACAATTTTACCTTGAATTTATTTTTTTTGACCATCAAAAACCCTACACTTGTACACCTGTGACAATTTTACCTCCGAATTAATTTTTTGATCACCAAAAATCCTAAACTGGTACATCTGTGACAAATTTACCCTCAATTAGTTTCCGTTAAATTTTACTATCAAATTGTTAAGTTTAATGACACGTGGTAATTGACAGGTGTACCGATTTTGGGTTTTACCCCTCTGTTTGTCACATGTTTACCAATTTGTGATTTTTCGTAATATTAATCCAATTTAACGAACATTAACGGAAGGTAAATTTGTCACAAATGTACCAATTTGGGGTTTTTAGTAGTCAAAAAATTAGTTCGGGGTAAAATAGTCATAGGTGTACCGGCTTGTGGTTTTTTGTGGTCAAAAATTAGTTTAGAGTAAAATTATCACAAGTGTACCAATTTGGGATTTTTTGTGGTTAAAAAAATAGTTGGGGGTAAATTTGTCAAAGTATACCAGTTTGGGGTTTTTTGTGGTAAAAAAATAGTTCAAGGTAAAATTATCATAGACGTACCGATTTGGGATTTTTCGTGGTATTAACCCTAATCTTTTTTACTCAAAACTTTCTTTTCTTGCACATTTTACTTAAAACTTTACGACACATGCAAATTTTCATGAAATCCAAATATCGACGCATAAATTCAAGCAAAACAAAAAAATAAAAAGAGAACTAATGTATGCTTTTACGGAAAAGTATCAGAAAAGTCCTAAACGTATTGCATTGGTACCAATTCAGTCTTAGACCTTTTAATGGTGCCAACTCAATGATAATCCTTTTGACCTAGAGTTAATTCAGCCCCGCTAATTTTGGCCAAACGTTGCTAACATGGATGCCGGCCAGCATAGACGTGGACTTTTTTACTGATTTTCGAATTTTATTCTTTTTTTTTCTTCTCTTTTTCCTCCTCTACCTCCTGTGGCAAGCGTTGGCGCTCGCCCGGGGGATGCCTGGCTTCGCTGACCATTGCCTGGGCCAGGGCGAGGCTTGACAAGGCCAACCAACAGGCATTAGGTCAAAAGGGCTAAATTGACACTATCAAAATATTTAGGGGGTTAATTAAAAAAAAAAGCACCAACTTTAGGTCGAGGGACAATTCTTGTCCGAACTTTTTTTTGTCCAGTAAAAAAACACCAACTTTAGGTAAAGGGATAATTTTGGCCCGAACTTTTTTTTGTCCTGTAAAAAAGCACCAACTTTAGGTTCAGTGACAATTCTGGCCTCAACTTTTTTTTGTCTAGTAAAAATGCACCAACTTTCATTTAAATTTCAAATCTGGCTCCCATTAACTTAGAACCATTAATTATCTAACTTAACTATTCCACCTTAGCAATAAATCCACGTGATTTGCTGACTGGATTTAAAGCAATATTTATTGTCTTATTCTCTGAGCCACAATTTGAAGAATAACGGTGAAACTGTTCGTCTCCTTCACTTCACCGGCAAGTCAAAAATATCTCCGGATTGAATCTCTCTGGCCAAACGTAATATGAAGCTGACCACCGCCTGTCGACAGACGCTATGGACGAGATTCGTCAAGCTCACCACCGTAACCTTTTTTCTCAAACAATGGTGACTTTAGACAAAAAGTCAACAGGGGGCCAAATTTGGGATCATGGTGAAAGTTGGTGATTTTTTATGAGACAAAAAAAAATCGGGCCAGAATTGTCACTTGACCTAAAGTTAGTGTTTTTTTACTGGACAACAAAAAGTTCGGCCCAGAATTGTCCTTCAACCTAAAGTTGGTGCTTTTTAATGGGACAAAAAAATGTTCGGGCCAAAATTATCACCCAACCTAAAGTTGGTGCTTTTTTTTGGAATTAGGCCAATATTTACGACTAAACTGCCACTATTTAGGGTTTTTCTAGCGCTTTTCCTTGCTTTTGCTGTACCTCGGACCGACAGGCTTTGTTCTTCTTCCGCAGCGTCAAGTCATCATTCCACAAGTCACGGAAAAACATCACTCCGAGGTTCCAAATTCCAAACGGCCAAAGACCCCTTTGGAAAAATTCACGTGGAGACAAAAACTGAAGAGAACTCGAAAGTGGTCAAAAAAAAAATTAATTTCTCAAAATATAGGTGGAAAATAAAAAAAAACAAAATAAGGAAAAAAAAAACAAAATGAAAATTCATTTTACGGAAGAAGACGCCGGCCTTCACCCAAAAGAAGAAGAAGAATGGGTCAACGCCCCGAGACAAGAGCACGTGGACAAAAGGCGCCGACGAGCCATCGATCGTTTCCCCCTACATCCCGTTCCACAGTGAGGCTGGTGAGGCTGGTGAGGCTGGCCAATGGCGCGCCGACACGTGGGCCCGGTCCCTCGGCAGGTCCGGTCTCCCCGCCTCGGAGTCTCCGAAAGGGACGGCCCTCGTTGCGTGGCGCGCGGTGCGGGATGGGGATATGGCCGCACGCGACCCCACGAGCTCCCACGCACGTGGCTCACGTGACCCTCGCATCCCCTCCACCACATCCTCCCTCCCTCCCTCCCACTCTCTCTCTCTCTCTCTCTCTTTCTCTTTCTGACGTATACCTACCTCTACGTAGATATATACGTACGCTTTTGGGTTGTAGATATCGCCAATGGCCTTGTGCTGATCGGCATCGACATGTCCACGATGGAGAGATTATGGGCGCGCGGTTCTCGTCTCCGCAGGGCTTCGGTCGGAGCTCGCAGCCATGAATTGGTGAGTTCTGTCCTTCTTCTTCTTCTTCGTTGCTTTTTTTTTTTGGTAATTTCTGTTGTCTTCTGTTTTTTTTCTTTCTGGGGATCGAATGTTTTGTTCTTTTTGCTCCGGAAGAATGATTGTTGGTGCATGCATGATGGGTTTTGTGTCGTTCGTGGGTTCGTGGGTTCTTGGTCGTTGGTCATTCGACTCTTTGTGGAAGGAGCTCGGGCGCATTGATTGCCGATTGCGATTGGTTTTGTTGTCGTCGCTGCTGTTTCTTTTTTTGCTCGTCTTGATTTTCCCGTGTATAAAGATGGGCTTGGACCCAGTTTCGACGTTCTTGGATGGTTCTGGTTAATGTTTTGATGATCCTCAGATGCAGGGCAGGTCTGTATGTGAATTTCTTTTCAGTGAACTGCTATTTTTTATTTTTCGAAGCTTTTGTTTCCCCTGGAAGCTCTCGCTTAGATTGGTGTTCCTTGAGAATTAAGCTTTTTCCGCAGCATTGAGAATGTCACCATTTATGGCTGCAATTGGCTCCTGTTGCAGTTGGTGGATTTCTGAAAGCCTCCGAGATGGTACCCATCTCAGAGTAATGCCAAATACAGCTGTTATTTGACCGCTTCTTCCTTTTTCCCCTTCATTCACGTGTTCTGATTTGGGTTCTATTTTGTGTTACGTTAGGAGTGCTTGGTTGATGGGTAAATTGATTGTGATCATTCCTAATGGGATTACCCTGTTTGAGGTGCATGCTAGCTTCGATACAACTCGGGTTTCATGCTTCTTGTTCATGCTTACTAAAAGAAGAAGCATATCAAGACAGCATTCTACAAGAGCTTTCGTCGTTGTGTGATTTATTTGGAGAGAAACTGGGTGGCCTAAAATCAACAGTGTGGTCTATCCCAAACCTTGAAGATTTCTTGAGGAATGTCATGTACTCCTTGAACTCCTCATCCAAAACTGCACGGAGTATGTCCCAATTAGGCTGGCCCGAGCGGCAATCTGGGGACTACAAGAATGAGCTCTTAGTCAATGAGAGGTCCGATTGATGTTTTTTCGTTTGAGCGGATGAGCAACTAAGCTTAGCCATAAACTGCTTCGTGGGCCCTTGCTAGTTTTAGGACTAATTGACTTTCACGTCCACTGAATAGTTATCTAAGCATATGATGATCACGTCAAGGGTGTGCGTTTGTCTAGTGGAGAGAAAAGTTGATTCCCCAAACCTAGTGAATTGGTTTGGACTGAAAGTTGGATAAGAAGATTCCATAACTCAGGGATGTTTCTTTGGTTATCATGCTCCAAAAGTCCAACATTCTAAGTTGTTCGCCTGACAATTAACACTGATTATAAGCAGATAAAACTCCTACATTTTGTAAAGGCTTAATTGGGATTTTTCATCATAAGTTGACTGACCATGAATCAGTGTTGTTTGAGACTGACAATTTGTGAATTTTCACTTTAATCGGTAGATGCCTCTCTTCTGCACCATTTTTGGTCTTTGATGAGCTTGTCTTGCTGTTAAATTATCAGACTTTATGTAAGATCACAAATTGGCTAGGTAAGTCTCAAGATCAAGAGCTAAAGTGATGGCAAAAATATTTTAGGGCACAAACTGGCATGTTTTCTATTAATTTTATGATCCAGTGAGCCCTAAAACAAGATCTCATACTCTAATGGGTCTGAAATAACTTGATTTTCAATGTCCAAATAGTCCACCCTTAATTCCTCAATCCAAAATATATTTATGGAATTGCTGTTGTCGATGTAGCTTGCCTTATCCTGGTGTTTGGAAACCTGATCTCCCAGCTCCAGTTCTTTTTTCGTTTGTCATGTTCAGAGTAAAATGTACGTTCTGGCCATTTAAATATTGACTAAACAAATTTTTTCAGGTTATCTAGTACCTTCCCATGGAGCTTCGTCTGTTATTTTTCCGGCCCAGGGGAGTTAACTCGACTCATTCCCCGGTCTCCTGCACTGCCCAAGTATCGTAATTGATCGTACTGAAGATGTTACTGTTAGATTCTTTTCATGACCCTTCGAAGAATGGCCACACGACCCCAACGCCTCACGTCTAGACGAGCACCACCGAAGATCCTCTTTATCCTTCTTCTGATCATTGTTCCCATCTGTCTACTTGGGGTATTCACTTATGGCCAGAAAATATCATACTTTCTCCGTCCACTTTGGGACCATCCACCACCCCCTTTCCAACGCATACCTCACTACTATGCAGAGAATGTGTCGATGGAGCATCTGTGTCGCCTTCATGGCTGGTCCATTCTCCCCCAGCCTCGGCGGGTGTATGATGCTGTAATTTTCAGCAATGAGCTAGATATGCTCGAAATAAGGTGGCGTGAGCTCTACCCCTATGTCACTAAATTTGTGATCCTTGAGTCTGGTACCACATTCACAGGCATTCCAAAGCCTCTTTTTTTCGCTTCAAACCGTGCTCAATATGCTTTTGCTGAAGGGAAGATTGTCCATGATACAATTTCTGGTCGAGTTGCAAATCGTGGATCACATGACGACCCATTTAAGCTCGAGTCCGAGCAACGGGTGGCTATGAATGGTTTACTTCGCCGGTCTGGAATTTCATATGGTGACTTATTGATAATGTCTGACACTGATGAGATTCCGAGCCCACATACTTTGAAACTGTTGCAGTGGTGTGATGGGATCCCACCTGTAATGCATCTGGAACTAAGGCATTACATGTATTCTTTTGAGTTCCCAGTGGACTACAGCAGTTGGCGAGCCACTGCTCATATTTATGGCGCAAAGACCCAATATCGGCACTCACGCCAAACCGATCTTATATTTTCTGATGCAGGATGGCATTGCAGCTTTTGCTTCCGGAGAATCCGAGAGTTTATTTTTAAGATGACTGCTTATAGCCATGCAGACCGAGTCAAAAGGAAAGATTATCTGAGCAATCCGAGGATTCAAAGGCTCATTTGTCATGGAGAGGATCTTTTCGACATGCTTCCTGAAGAGTACACGTTCCAGGAGTTGATCAAGAAGTTGGGTCCAATCCCCCATTCAGCTTCTGCAGTTCACCTTCCCGCATATGTTATAGCGAATGCAGAAAAATTCAAGTTCCTTCTTCCTGGGGGATGTGAAAGAAGTCCAGACTGAAATCTTTCAAGCTGATTTAGCAACGTCGTCAATGCATGAGCAATGTCGATTTCATATTTAAATTGGACTGGCTCGAGATTTTCCTGCGAGGATATAGACTGTGTAGATTTTTAGCATTGATAGCAAGAGAAGTGCTATGGACAGTCGCACAGTGACATGGCTGTCGATCTGGTCCATCAATTGCCACGGAACCCACTGTTGGTCCAACGAATACGGAGCAATGCAGACTGTCCCTAGCATTTCCCTTTTGTAGTGAGTTCAGGTCGAGTTCAGCTTGAGTTTAAGACTTGTTTCTCAATAGACAGGAATGTTGATGGCCAATTTAGATCGAGTGATACCCACAATTCGTCAAGAAGCGAAACAGCTGAAAGCATTCCATATGTCATGTCTTCAAAAGAAATGTTTAGCTAATAGAAAGGGCCTCTGAAAGTTTCATGATAGGTGCCATCTTGCCAGGGATTTCATCCATGGCAGCAGCACACTGGTGCCCTCATCTGGATCAAATGTTTCAATTGTTGTCGATATCCAAGGTTAAAGTATCCGGTTTTTTGTCAGTCTGAAATAGTATCGGATTCAAGCTGCCTTAACTTCTGATGATGTGCTGTGTCTCTATCAGAACTAGTCAAGGTCTGAAGTGCACACCGGTGATGTTAGGAGCAGGTGGCTTAGTGTCTACTCTTCTTCTTAGAGTAAGCATCTTAGCTTTTGCTTTTACATGCATGGATTCTGACATAAGAAGATGAGATAAGCTTAAGCTCCATCCTTAGCTACATACAATCTCTAGTCACATCCATAGAAAGGAGGTGTCTTTGTTCTCCCTTTATATCATGTTTCTCTTCTTTTTCTTCTTTCCCTTTTCTATCATGTTAGATGAATGACAGAGACATCAGAGGAGAGGAAATGGCCAAATTTCAATTATCACCGTTGCGTGCTCCAAGATTGATATGATGATTGAGATGAATAAGTTTCAAGCTGTGCTATCTCTTAACTAGGTTGGGGACCCACCCTGTGCATGGGACCTTACCAAACATGTGCAGCATAATTTAGCCACATCATGTCGAAAATTGATACTTAAAGAGTACTCATCACATGTGTGCAATCAAATTCTGGCATAGGCATAGCAAACCAAATCGATCATATCCAAAAGGGTTAATGCGGAACATTGCGATCACAGATTAAGACGGCTATTCGGACCTACTTCAGTTCAAGGACTATGAGCACTCGGTTTAGAGGCCACGTTCACGTGATCAAAGGATTTAGAGTAAATGCTAATCGCAAGACCAAATGATAACCAATTCCAACGCGGATCGCAGCGACGAATCGAGATCTAGACTTGGGGACAGATGATGTTATCAGTCGGAAACCAGTGAGCAAATAACCGAGAAACTACAGCCGCTTGAAACGGCCAGGCAATATCAACTAATTCTTACCAGGAGAATGTTGGAAAGGTGCTTGAATGGTGCCTGAGTCCTTTCTGTCTCGTACATGCACCAATTCTCCTGTGAATAGAGAACGTGGGGGCACGTGAAAATATGTGCGCTCGTCGATGCTTTGGTCCGTGTTCTTCACCAAGAACGAACGCCGGGTGGTAGAGCCGAAGGCACTGGAAGCTTGCCGAATGACGGCGTTCACGGGCAGTGGTGGCGGCGGACGGACGGTGGTGATGCTGCTCGGGGGACGCCATGGACTTCCGCGAGAATGCCGAAGAGGGAGAGAGAGGGCTTCACGAAAGAGGCGTTGGTCTTGAGTTCGAAAGGCAAGGAAATATACTTTTATTCCTATTAGCCACGATTCCCTCTTGATTTGTGAAGATTTTTCGCCAGATCTTCTCCCCATGTTTACGCCTGCCGAGCGTTCCCTTTCCTTTCTTGGCTCCTCCGCGCGAGGATTCTCTATGAACGTCTCCATGCAATAATGGGAAAGTCCCCATGAATTCGTCCCTTTTGTTTCCTTCTTCATCTCAGCACACGTGCACCAGATCATCCTCTTCTTCCTTGGCCAAATCTTCTCTCTCATGCCTTGGCGGTTTCATACGTTACTGTAGAACGAACGGAGACAGTATCTCTGCCTTCCCATCTTTGAGTCTCGCACGCAGCTTTCCTTTCGTTGGACGTGGGGCTCTCTTGCTCTCCTGCCTGATCGAACTCTGCTGCATGTATGGCCTCCATCTGCATTCCGTTCTCCGGCCATGTCCCTTTGTGGCCGAGGGGATCGATCTTGAAATTCAAATGAGATTAGGGCATCCCTCCTTAATCCCTTGCAGCACTCTGGGCTAATCCCAAGGCAATTTATGACCGGACAAACTTAAATGCAATTTATGTGGACTTGCCGTTATTAAATGAAAATGTAAATGCGAACCATGTTACTGATATATTTGTTTACACGTCAGGGTCGATTCCTAATTTTGTATGTGATGTGTGATGTAATGAGGTAACCAAAATTTAGGTATCGACAATGACAATGAAGATATCGACAAAATAAGTTATTTGAGAGAATAAATTGGGATTCTTGCCCTCGGGAGAAAAAAGAAAACAATGTTCTTTCGAAAAGGTAGTCTAAAAAAAACGATGTTCTTTCAACCAATAGCTCTCAATGCACGCAAAACTGTCTTTCCTTGTTATTGCATAAGGTTATGCCTGATGGTTGCGGTTTGCTCTGTGAGGGAGAGGTGTGGTGATTTGAACTCGAAATCAAGTGCATCTAAGACTTAAAGCTTGTCCGTATTATAGTTTAATCGAACCGTAATTGCAATTGTACTGTTGTATGATGTGAAGTGTAGCTCTATTATATGTTCGATAATACATGTTTTAAAACTGCAGTTAGTTAAAATTAAGTGAGCCAGTTTTTGCAGGACTTGTCAAAATGGGATACAGATACATTTATTAACTCATATTTGATAGGCTGAAGTTCTTACATGAGTTAATTATATTTAATAATGGGTTCAAAATGGTAAAACCCAATAATAATATGGGTATTAAATGAGTCTACAATTTACTTATAGACTCAACTCACCTCTACAACTCTCTCTTCACTCTCTCTCTCGCCCTCACCCTCACCCTATCTTGTGCTTGCTCCGCACTCTCACCTTAATTTAATTATGCTAAATATGGAAGCATTCTAGCAATATGAGTCGGGTCGGATATCAGTCGGGTATGAGCCACTAGATTCGTATTGTGTGGAGATTGATCAATTTGGGTCGAATCATTCTCGATCGGACCCAATCCACCCGTTTGACGAGTCTAGTTATCCCAAGTTTAGAAGCCATACAGCTATTAAAGAGTGTTTGACGGAAAAACTCTATCAAAAGTGGCCTAACCAAAATTGCTCAGTCAGCTCCTCCAGAGACGCTAGAAAGGACACAGATGCTAAATGGCCGAATTTGACCATCTCCCGGACCCAAAAATTCCACAAGATCTTCAATTAAAAACCCCAAAAGTAGAAAGAAGAAAAGGTACGGACTGACTTTCTTGCATGAAATAAACACCAATAGATAATGCCATGGAACGAGAGATGTAGGAAAAAAATTGCATTTGGTCAAGATACAATTATTATTAAAGTGGTGAGACTTTGGGTGAGAAGGGAAATTTGCACATAGAAACAAAAGGAGTAATCAAAGTTGTTGACACCTACTTTTTAATTGCCCAAAATTAATTATACAAAATTTAAGGATCGGAGGTCGGTCGCGACAAAAGTTAAGTAATTAGGGGAAAGAAAATTAAGAATTGAGTGCTTTGCCTTGTTAGTTTCCATTTGACTTTACATATGGTATCGACGAATATGCATTTTTTCACTTAAGTTTCGTCTGTTTTGCGAAAAATTAATAATTTTTGAAAAATATTTTCCTAAAAATGATCGCTCGTATCACTTATAAAAATGAATGAACGAAAAATATTTTCATCGTTAAGGACAATGTTTAGACATAAATTGTTATCGACAATCAAAACATTTTTTATTAATTAATTATTCAAGCAATATAAGCAATCGTTTTTAAGGAAAAGAAATTTCAAAATCATTCATTTTCCGAGAAACAAACGGACTCTTTGTTCTGCTTCTTCCTTTGTAAGGGAGAACGTCAAGTTCCGATTTCTCTCGTACTCGCTGTGAGATTTTATAGAATTACTGCCAACTATTTTAAAAACTTAAACTATTAGACAAATACGCAGTTTAATATTTAACTATTCTATCACCTACGTTCTCCCCCTACCCACGCGGGGGTCGAAAAGTGGTATCGGAGCAAGTCGATCCAAGGCGCAATGAACCCACGTTCCGACATAACTGCCCGTCTACCGATAGATTTCCAGCCCCGCCTGTCGCTAATTATCTCGGACCCCACTCCCGAGCGCCACGTGCCCACCCCGACTCTACAAACTGTCGGGCGGGGGCACAAACGACAGACGAGCGATTGTCACGTTCAATAAGGAACCGGCCAGTCGCCGATCGTCGCGAAGGGAAACGAAAGGCACGGGCGGTCTTCTAGAAGGATCAAAAATCAAATGGGTCTCGTGCCCTTTGAATGTTCGATGGGCTGAAGGTAAAATGCGAACGAGAATCATCAAAGATCACCATGATAAAAAAATCGATTTGAAAAGAGGGGAAGAAAAGAGAGAGAAAGAGAGAGAGAGGTTGACGTAGAATGGAGAGATTGATTCGTCGCGACACCAGTCGCGCCTAAAGAATGTGCCGTGCTTTGCGAGCGGTTCCGGTCAACCCCAAGGGCTCAAACCGTCATTTCACGCTTCCCCCCCGGCACCTTCCTAAAGCTATTCAACACGAAAGGACGACCCCGATAGCGATGGCGCCTGGCCTCTCACCCACATTTGCATTGCACTTGGAGAAGTCAATTATGGATACCTCATTTTCCTTTTTAATTTCCTTTCTCTTTTTCTTTTTCCTTTTTTCTTTTCCTATTTTTTTTTTGCGAATTTTTTTAAATTTCAATTACGGCCAACCTCGTAAATTTGAAGACGAGACATTTCTTTGTCTTTGTCTGAGTTGTAGCCCTCGGTTCAACGAATCCATGTTGTCGTTTTCGTGCATCTTTTCCTTATTGACTTCGAAGGGCCTTGAGTTTTCCGGAAAGAGACTTGTGTGTCTTCCAATTATTTGTCGACCGAAAGCTGGAGCATTTGAGCTTTCCACTTCCCTTTGCCTTATAAACTCAATTTGCAAGTGGGAAACTGTCCGATTAGTCCTAAATTAGACCCCTCAAATGGATTGATTTGCACGAACCTGGATCGTTTGAAGGATCAATTGCCTGCGTGTGCCGCAACTCTTCTGGAATTCTGATTGATGGTTTCGCCAAGAGCGTCCTCGCCGCCTCCGCCGAACAAGCAGAAAGCGAAGCTATTGTGGAAACGCTGAAATTCCTCTCTCCACGTGCAGGGGAAAGACTTATTCTGGAGTCTGATTGTCTAGGTTTAGTGAGAAGTGTCAATTCTGTAGAAAAACTGCCGTGGGAACAGCACGTACTGATAAGTGAAGCCCGTGACCTGATTTCCAGCTTTTCTAATATTAAGCTTATTTTTTGTAATAGGGCTAAAAATAGTGTAGCTGA